AAAAGATATTACCGATGGTGCACTGTACAAGAAAATTCGCCATGTGCTCAAGATGAGGTGGATTGCCTTGAATTTAACTCTGAACGCTGATGGCTCGCCAGTTTTCAAATCTAGCAAAGGCTTAATATGGCCGATTCAGGTCTCACTGAATGAGTTGCCTGTGCCTCTTCGTCGGAAGAACGTTGTTATTGGAAGAGTTTGGTTCAGCAAAGAACATCCATATGCTCACCTTTTCTTGAAGGCCTTTGTTGACAAGTTTCAAGGTCTGGGGAAGATAACATGGTCATTTGCGCAGCAAGTTCAATGGTCAATGTTTTCTCACTGGTTCTTATTATCGACCATCTGGTGTCTCTTGTCAGCAGTTTGCTAAATTAACTACTTTTTTTGAGACGGTTCAGTGTGATCACATTGTACTGGGAGAAGATTTTAACCTTCCCGGTTTGGACTGGGGATCGGGTAATTGTCTCGCAGGTGGTACAACAGGTGATTTATACACAGCCTTCTTTGAATTTATGCACGAAAACAGTCTGCATCAGTTGGTAAGAGATTCTTTCCGTAATGATGATACTGGTAACGTGCTTGATTCGTTGTTTTGTGATGCACCGAACATTATTTCAGATACATGTGCTTTGCCCAGCATTAGTGATCATAAGGTTAATGTAGCGGACGCTACATTTCGAAATGTGTGTGTATTGAAAAAAGCCCCTAGAACAGTGTATGCATATAACAGGGCTAACTACGCGGCAACAAATCTAGCTCTTGAATCTTACTTTCCTACTTTTGACACATTGGCAGACGAGTTAAACAGGGAAGAGTTATAAGGAGTACTTAAACAGAAGCTTTTTGAACTGCGTGCTAAATTTATTCCCCTTCGAATACTCTCTTCCAAAAGTTCAAAAGATAAACCGTGGTTTAACAGGCAACTCAGTTCTTTATTAGGAAAAATCAGAAGAATCTTTCGGCTTAGCAAGACTCAGAAATCTGATAGTCGCTACATACAGTTAGCAGAGTTAAAACGTATTTTCAGAAAGCTCGCTCGATCAGCCAAACAAACATACTTTGCTCACTTAGGCCAGAGGCTGGTAGACGATCTGAAGGAATTTCGGAAATATGTTAAAAGAAGTGGTAAGGAGGACACTTCTGTTCCACCATTGCACTGGTCCAACCGAAATATTATTGGTGATCCGAGTAAGGTCGATATTTTTGTTAATTACTTTTCATCGGTTTATCAGTCTGATTTTTCATATGCTAATGCAGTTACAATTAATTATTTTTCGGTCCAAGTCGACAAAATGTTAGACGTTGTGTTTAGTGCGACACGAGTCGAGAGATTATTGCAAGTCTTGAAACACACGAAAGCGAGTAGTCCGGAGAGTAGTCCGGATCATATTCCGGCATCGTTTCTTATTAACTGTTCGGGCACTCTGTGTTTATTTTTTGTCGTTTATTTCAAAATTTCTTAAAGGACGGCATTGTTCCTGGGGACTGCAAGTTGGCCCGCATGGTACCAATCAATAAAAGTGGACAGAGGGACAGAGTTTAGAATTAAAGGCCAGTGCCGTTAAGTACTATTGTATGCAAAGTTATGGAACATATGATTTATAGCAGCATCATGCCTCACCTTGTTGCAAATAACATCCTAGTCAGCATGGGTTCCGGCAAGGCTTTCCTTGTACGACGCAATTCGTAGAATTTACTCATGACCTTGCCTCAGCTGTCGACAAGCAGCAAAGTGTTAACTGTATATTTTTGGATTTCAGAAAAGCTTTTGACGTCGTTACACATAGTCTTTTGATCGCTAAACTTTGATATTACAAATTGGATGATAGGGTTAATGCTTGGATAGCTGGGTATCTTCGCTCAATGCAGATGTCTGTGGCTCTGAACCGTTGTTCCTATACATATGTTGCTGTGACCTTTGGTGTACCACAGAGATCAGTCTTAGATCCACTTTTATTTTTGTTGTTCATAAATGACATCACTTTCATATCATATAATTATTTAGAATGTTTTCAGATGACTGTGTAGTATATAGGGCCATCAATAGCGACCTTGACAAACAAGCACTGCAAAACAATTTAGATTCAATTGTCACATGGTGTGAAAAATGAAAAATGTCGTTGAATGTGAAAAAAAAGTGTCCACCTCACCTTTACGAGGAAACTCTCGCACTGCAGAAATCATTACACGAATAATAACGTTAATCTTCAACATGCCACGGAATATAAATATCTAGGCGTATTTTTCATTGCTGAATTGAGATGGAATAAACATGTCACTTACGTTAGGAACAAGGCGGTAGGAACATTAGGTTTTCTGAAACCTAACTTCAGTAGTTTATCACAAAGACTTAGAGAGAAGCTCTATTTTACACACGTCCGCAGTATACCGGAGTATGCGTGCGTCTGCTGGGACCCATATATAAGGAACTTACAGATAAACTTGAAAAAGTGCGGAATAGAGCAATTCTATTTGTCCTCGGAAATTACGACAGGATGCTTAGTGTGACACAGAGCAAGAAAACATTAAATTGGGATCTTCTTGAAAACCGTCGTAGAAACCTCCGATTAAAATTCTTTCATAGCATTGATCATTCGAGAACAGGCATCAACAGGCAATTGTATTCCGAACCACCCTACTATGTTTCTCAAAGACGCGATCATCACTTAAAAATACGTGAGATTCCTTTTGGGGGTGACGCTTTTCACTACTCTTTCTTTGTCCGCATTATAAGAGAATGGAACACTCTGCCACCGGAAATAGTCTCTATTGATTTAAGTGATGATTTTTCCATGCTTTATGAATGTTTTTAATCTATTTGATCATTAGTACTGTACCCTCCCTGCTGTATTGCCTTATGGCGAAGCGGGTACTTAAAAGATAAATAAAAACAAAAATAAGTTGTTCATTCTGCTGTAAAAATTGTTTGCTGCTGTGTTGACTCGCCTGCACGAGCTGCTTTGCTGGATTCAAAACAGTTCAACGGGTACTACGGCTGTTCTTGGTGCCTGCAGAAAGGAACTCTTGTGGAAAGTAAAGAATTTTCTACATTGCTTAATATTGGCACGTAGCAGTCTTAATATTAACCTCTGCTTAGCCACGACCTTGGAGGCAAGAGGCAGAGAGTCTGCATTCATTTAGCTAAAAAAAAAACAGCTGCTAGCATCAGGAGCTTCCGCTATCCACTGTGCATATGCATAAACTAAATGTGGTGAAATGATATATGGCGTCTGCAGGCATCAGATGCTTGGAGATTGATATTTGTAGCTTATTTGAAGCACAGCACCACATGTTATCAGGGGGTTATTCATGAGTAGTGCATTCTTGGTTGACAAAATCTATTAAACTGAACTGCTACACAAATGAAATTCGCTGTCATTTAACTGGCTTCATACTTTTATTTTGCACGCTTGTTCATTGCTCAGTTAATAGAGCTCACGTTAAATTGAAAATATAGGTTCCAGAAGTTCCGTTTAATGAGCCTGCTTATAATAACAAAAATGTCCGCTGTCTTAATGTATTGATGCCGCAAAGTGTCTAAGAACACCTTGGATACCTTGCGGCTTAAAAGTTAATACTGTGAGATCTCTCTTATAAGCAGGGTACTAAGTTATGTGTTATCTTACCAAAACCTATTTTCTTGTAGCACACTGGTGTTTCTTATACACAAGTGTCTGTTACAACAATGTCTCTTATAAAAGGCTTCAATGTTATTCAACAATGTGGAACCGAATCAAGCTGTACTATTTGATATATCGTAGATTATCAGGTGCACGCGCCGAAGAACATACCGATAACACGTGCCTCCACCCCTCGCCACGGCGCATGCTCCGGCCTCGGGCCAGGGTATTAAAACCAAGACAGCAGCCTCGTGAATAAACATTGTTGTTCCTTCTTGTTCTGGCCATGCATCGTCTTATTCTTCGCCCTTACGATACTACAGTGGTGACGAGGATGGGATCCGGTTAATTGCACTCCGACGCTGAGACCAGAAGAATGGGATCCCGACCCCCTGCCTTCGACGACGCCGTGAGTAGCTGGAGCACGTATCGTGTCCGGTTGGAAGCCTACTTTGAGGGCAACGATATTACCGACGTAGCGAAACGCCGGGCCCTACTGGTTTCATCGTTGAGCGACAGTGTCGTCCGGATATTGCAAGGGCACCAGCCGGGGTCGCCATCAACTCCTTGACGTACGATGACGTTGTGAAATGCTTGGAAGAACATTTCAACCCTCAGGCAAACGAAATAGCAGCAAGCTATTCTTTCTTTATGCGAAAACAAGATGAGCAAGAAAGCGTCCGGGACTACATTGCTGAACTGAGAAGACTGGCCGTAAATTGTAATTTCGGGGCGACACTGGACCGTATGTTGCGGGACCGAATCGTTTGTGCGATTCGGGATGAGGAAACGCGCCGGTTCCTGCTGGGCCGCAAGAACTTGACTCGTGAAGAAGCCGAAGAATTCGCCTTAGCTTCTGAGAAAGCGAACGAAGACGCTCGGGGCATGCGTACTTCATACGCCCGGACCGAAGGTGGCGGCGTCAACGTGATACAGCAACAAGGCAGACAGTGGAGGAAGAATTGCAGCCTTTCATGCAACAGATGCAAAGGGGCGCATGCAACGGCGTCCTGTCGACATCGCAGATCCATATGCCATCAATGTGGTAAAAGAGGGCATCTTGCTAGGGCTTGCAAAAGACCCCACAACCCCAGGTCACGAACGTTCGCTGTCGACGGAACCGAATGTGAAAGCGAAGAAGAGAGGTTGTATGCCCTCGTTGCACACAGTTCCGCCAATAAGCACTTGGTGCAGCCAATCGAGCGCACCTTAACGTGGGAAGGCCGTAGGCTGCGAATGATTGTCGATACTGGATCACCAGTAAGCGTGATTCCCAAAAGTTTGTACAAGAAGCATCGCAAGTGGTGGCCGGCTCTGCAAAAAACTCCACTACGCCTTTCATGTTTCCTGGGACCGTTGCCGGTCGTTGGCAAGGTAGACATGCAGGTACAGCTTGGACCAGTAACGGTGAGCAGTTCGCTGATAGTAGTGGACCATCGAGGGCCCCTTTTGTGCGGAAGGGACACGATAGAGGAATTTCGCAAAGCAGGCATGTTGCTAGTAGAAGGCACGTCGTCTTCGGTGAATGTTGTTCACGCCGACAGCCAGCTAACCGCACTTCTTGACGAGTTTCCGGACCTCTTTGAGAACCTCGGATGCTGTAAGGGACCACCGGTGAAGCTGTACCTCAAGGAAAGTGCGCAACCTCGATTTCTGAAGGCTCGGACAGTCCCGTATGCCATGAGAGCGCAAGTCTCCGCCGAAATTGACCGACTGGTGGAAGTGGGCGTGCTGTCCCCAGTGAGCGTGGCTGAATGGGCAACACCGGTCGTGCCCGTAGTAAAGAAGAACGGAGACATCCGGCTGTGTGGGGACTTTAAGCTAACAGTTAATCCAGCGACAAGAACAGAGCAGTACCCGCTTCCGAAAATTGACATCTTTGCGGCGCTATCAGGAGGCGAAGTGTTCAGCACACTCGACTTACGAAACGCATACAACCAGCTTCCCCTGGATGATGATGCTAAGAAGATAACTGTGTTGAATACACACAAAGGCCTCTTCGGCTACAACTGCTTGGCTTTTGGCATTGCCTCAGCGCCTGCGCTGTTTCAGCGGCGCATAGAAGCCGTGTTGCAGGGTATACCAGGGGTGAAAGTTTACCTGGACGACATTATTGTAGCAGAAAAAGAGTATGACACAACGATACTGCGGCAAGTGTTCGAACGACTTCGGGCGAACGGCCTAACACTGAACAAGGAGAAGTGCCACTTCCGGGAGAAAGAAGTGGTATTTCTAGGGCACCGAATCGATGCAAAAGGCCTCCACCCACTGCAGGACAATTTGGAAGCAGTGCTAGCGGCACCGCCACCGACTTCGGTAAGCCAGCTTAAATCATTCTTAGGACTGGTCACATACTATTCCAAATTTCTACCGAACTTGTCGTCCACTTTGGCCCCGTTACACCGACTCTTGTCTAAAGGAGCACTGTGGTGTTGGGGGCCCGCACAGAGAACAGCATTCCAAGAAACCAAGCGCGCCATGAGAAGGGCGAACTTTCTTGTGCATTACGACCCCAAAGACCCTTGCGACTTGAGTGTGATGCGTCGGCCGAGGGTATAGGCGCAGTTTTATCGCACCGCATACAAGGAGTGGATCATCCCATAGCGTTCCGCTCGAGAACTCTAACGTCGGCGGAACGTAATTATTCACAATTGGAAAAGGAGGCACTAGCGCTGGTCTTCGGCGTAGTAAAAATTCGAGATTATTTGTTTGGCAACAAGTTCACTCTGGTGACCGATCACAAGCCTCTGACTGGTTTGCTAGGTCCAGATAAACCCATTCCGCAAATGGCAGCGGCCCGCATTCAACGTTCGGCGCTGCTCTTAGCAGCTTATCAATACGACTTGGAATACAGAAAAGGAGAGCTAAATGCAAATGCCGACGCTCTAAGCCGGTTGCCATTACCGGTTGGCGATAATGGCTGGGAAATTGAACTAGCCGAATATGTCCTGCATGCGCAGGCTATGGATGATTTTGTTTTGTCTGCGCAGAGTATTTCAGACCACACCAGCAAAGATGACGTACTTCAGCAAGTGAAGACTTGGATCTTGCAAGGCTGGCCAAGGCGTCTCGGTTCAGAGGAACAGCAGTACCAACCGTATTTCGCACGGAGGCATGAATTGGCCGTGAGTAACGGGATACTCTACTGGGGCCACCGTGTGGTTCTGCCTAAAGCTGCCCGGCAATTTGTTTTGAAAGAGTTGCACGATACGCACCCAGGCATGACGGCAATGAAGAACCTCGCGCGCTCAATTTTCTGGTACCCAGGGCTAGACGGTGAAATTGAAAGGCTTGCAAAACGGTGTCCCCAATGCGTGCAGTGTTTGCCCATGCCCCTAGCGCAGGTCCCGACAAACTGGCCAAAGAACAACAGACGGTGGTACCGCCTACACGTGGATTTTGCTGGTCCCGTGGAAGGGCATATGATCTTCGTCCTCGTCGACGCCGAGACTAAGCGGATCGAAGCAGTGCCCTTGAAGACGGCGACAGCAGCGACTACGGTAGACACACTGAGGTGCATTTTCGCGCGATTTGGCATACCACGGACTGTCGTGTCGGATAATGGTCCGCAGTTCACCAGTGCAGAGACAGCGCGGTTCTTCCGGGAAAATGGGGTGCGCAACGTAACGACGGCCCCATACTACCCGCAATCCAATGGTTTGGCGGAACGGGCAGTACGCACCATCAAGGAGGGCCTGAAGAAAAATCGAGTGGGAACGCTGCAAAGTCGGCTTGCCAAATTTTTGTTGCGTTACAGGACAACACCGACCCGAGAGGAGCAGTCGCCCGCGGAAAGGCTTTTTGGATTCCAACCACGGACCCGCCTGAGCACCTACCTGGCAGAGGAAGACGCGGCGAAGAGGGAGGCTACCGTCAACGGAGTTCCGAACTCTGGAAAGAAAGAGTTTGCACCAGGAAGGGAGGTGTGGAGTCGACAGTACAGTCAGCTAGGTCAAAGGTGGCTACCCGGAACCGTGACAACAGTCGAAGGCAAGCGATTGTTAACCGTTAACACGCCAAGGGGGGTGCAACGTAGACACGTCGATCAAGTACGACCACGCGACTCGTCGACACCGGTTAAGAAAGAACCGTGCGAAACGCCAATGGCCATGGAGCAATTGCCACTCTCATCCAGCGGCATCCAGTCAACTAGCAGCGAAGCTCTTCAGGCCGGTCTGTCCGAGCCTGGTGAGGAAGCGTCTGGCGGTGGCATCGAGCCAGCAAGTCCAAGGTCCACGGCAGAACCACTCCCACTCCGACGCTCCACCCGTTCCCGCAAGCCGCCGGATAGGTTCTAGCTCAGAGGGGAGGAAGTGATATATCGTAGATTATCAGGTGCACGCGCCGAAGAACATACCGATAACACGTGCCTCCACCCCTCGCCACGGCGCATGCTCCGGCCTCGGGCCAGGGTATTAAAACCAAGACAGCAACCTCGTGAATAAACATTGTTGTTCCTTCTTGTTCTGGCCATGCATCGTCTTATTCTTCGCCCTTACGATACTACACTATTTATCCTTCAGGAGCTGTCAAGTACCCATACGAAGGAGCAGACATCGTAGAAAGGGGCCATGATTTGGTACTGTCAACAATGTCTCTTGCTGCAAGAAGGAACTGCACAACTGATGGCGTAAAGGGACCATCTCCTCTTGCCACGCTGACATCGTTGGATTTAGTCTGGGGTTTACCTCCAGCCTACATGCATTGTGTTCTTGAAGGAGTCACCCAGCAGATCACGGCGCTTTGGCTGACTTCTACTGGCAAAGCCTTCTACATCGGGAACAGATATGCGGAGCTCAATGAGCGCATCAAGAAGGTTTGCCCACCAATTTCTTTCACCAGGCTGCCAAGGCCACTTTCAGAAAAGGCTTTCTGGAAGGCAACTGAATGGAAATTCTGGCTTTTGTATTACAGTGTCCTATGTCTTGATGGCATTCTTCCTCCGAGGCACATCAGGCATTCTGTGTTGCTTTCTAAAAGTGTTTTCATGCTGCTGAAGGAATCTGTTGAGGAGTCCGAGACCTTTATTGCTCAGAGATTGTTGCAGAGGTTTGTTCAGGAGATTTCCGTACTGTATGGTGCAGCTGCTCAGACTTGATGTCCATCAGCTTCTTCACTTGGCAAAATATGTTAGGATGGCTGGACCACTGTGAGCCACTTCGACATTTCCATTTGAAGGAGGCAATGAAGAGGTTTTGCAGTTAGTGTCCGTAGCAAAAGGTGTGCCTAGGCAGATAACTGAACGTATCGTTATGCAGGGGGTGATGAAGCCGCTTAACGCCTTGCGGCTCTGCCACCATATTTGAAAAGGCAGTAGACAATTATTTCGGGAAAGACTACTGAGCAGAGACAGACCTGTGTGTTAGGTGCTCCTCTGCCTTTGTGTGTTTTGGAGGAAAATGTCCAAGCACCAATAACGGAAGCAGTTGGTGCAGGTGTAACCATTGGAGAATATTTCAGGGCTCGTGTCGGAGGCATCGGATTCCACAGTGCAAAATACACGCATGCCGAGAAAAACATGCTCTAGTTATATTGAAGACCACAGTGGGAATGTTTTTCAGGTTCAGGATGCCTTTGCAGCAGGGGCAGCCATATTACTATTATGCCAAAAAGTTATTCGTGAGCAGTAATTTTTGCCTTTCATGTAGAGCACTGAGCATCTCCCAGTACATGTAGGGCAGTGTCTGTTGCGTGAAAGCAACGTGGTTTCACCATGTGTTCTTGTCAATTGAGGAGGAACATTTGTTGTAGCCAAAATTCCAAATATTTTCTAAAGGGACTGAATGTTGTGTTCCATTTCTTGTAGTATACAAGATGTCTTCGCCAGTTAAAATGGTGCACCTTAAAACAGTGTAAATGTTGAAGAGGTCATGTCGATATGTGTACAAACAGCTCCTTTTTTTCTTTTCAGTCGACGAAGTGTGTGTGCTCTAATCTTGGTTAAAGTAGTTAAGCACTGGCGATGTAGTTCAGATATTAGCCACTAATGTTATAGATACTGTGTTGGTCAAAATTTTTAGTTTGGTTTCTAAATCTTTGCACTCGGAAGTGCTATGCAAGAAAACCTTGCATGCTAACGTACAGTCGCATGAATGAAATCGTCGGTCGATGCATTTCCTAGCACTCACTGGCATTGTATCTCTCATGGCATAATAAATCAGAAACTGCAGAATTTTCTTTTCTCTTTCTTTATTGTTGAGCTTGTGGGCTGCACAGCGTCTTCTTTTACTCAGAACCTTTTAAAACGTCATTTTGTTGATGTCGTGCTATTTATTTAATGACGAGGGTCTTGTGACAGAGATTTTTACAATATTGTCGGCCTTCTTCTTTTGTTTAATCTTGATGTCGCATGCCTAAGCACTATGTGCTATGGCACAATACAATTTCTCTTCCGATGATGCAATACGTAAACTAACCACTAAGACAAAATACAGTTTCAATCGTTTCTAATGATCTCCAACCAAGTATTAGTGAAACGCGCTATGGATGCGATTTGCTTGGTGCATCGTATAAAATTATGTCCAGGTTTTTCTAGTCATGGCTGGCAGCGAATTGATTTTTCTTAGATATAACTAATGGTGAGCTCTACAAGATGTGCTATGTTCTCAGTATGAGGCAGAGTGCCTTGGCTTTACCTCTGAACTCTGGTGAATCGCCAGTCTTCAAATCCAGGAAAGGCTCAGTATGGCCGATTTAGGTTTCATTGAATGAGTTTTCTAGAAGTGTCTCTTCATTGAAGCAGCATTCTGATGGAGCAGTTTGGTTAAGTATGAATTTCCACCTGATAACATTTTCTGAAAGGTCTTTGTTTACAAATTCCAAGGTCCAGGAGAGATAACCTTGTCATTCGGACAGCAAGTTGTTCACTCTGCTGTGAAAATTGTGCGCTGCGTTGTCAACTTGAATGCACAAGCTGCTCTGCTGAATACAAAACAGTTTAGCGGATACTATGGCCGTTCTTAGCGTCTTTTGAAAAAGGAATTATTCTCGAAGGTATCAAAGTTTTTGCAGAAGTGGCCATGGTCTAGATGTGCCACGATTTGGTGCTGTTCGCAATGTCTTTTCCTGCAAGGGGGAACTGCAGTTAATGGCATAAAGGGTACATTTGTGACCAAACTGACATCGTTGGATTTTGCCTGGGATTTAATGTCAAACTTCATGCATTGCGTTCTTGAAGGCGTCACCCAGCTGATCACGAAACTTTGGCTGACCTCCACTTGCAGAGCTTCCTACATTGGGAACAGAATGGCAGAGTTCAAAGAGCGCATCAATAAGCAATACTTTTTTGCAGACTAGTTGATTCATACTTGAAAAATTGAATTGCTGCAGAAACTTGAAGGAAAACAAGAGAGACAAGAAAGAGCGCGCTCTTTCCTGTCTCCCTTGTTTTCCTTCAAGTTTGTGCAGGAATTCAATTTTTCAAGCATCAACAAGGTTTGTCGATGAATTTTTTTTTCATGAGGCTGCCAAGGTCACTTTCAGAAAGGGCCTCCTCAAAGGCAACCTATTATAAATTCTGGCTGTTGTATAACAGTGTCTCATGTCTCGATGGCATTCTTCCACCTAGGTACATCCGGCATTTCGTGTTGCTTTCTGAAAGTATCTACATGCAACTGTAGAAAACTGTCGAGGAGTCCGATACCTTTATTGCTCAGAGATTGTTGCAGGGGTTCGTTCAGGAGGTTTCATACTGTATGCTGAAGCAATTCAGCCTTTCTAGGTCCATCAGCTTCTTCACTTGGTGAAATCTTTTAGGATGACTGAACTCACTTTCAATGTTCATCAGCTTATTCACATGGCGAAATCTGTTAGAGTGACTAAACCACTCTTGTCCACTTCGACATTTAAATTTCAAGGAGGCAATGGAGATAGTTCGAAGTTATTGTCTGCAGGAAACGGTGTAAGAAGTGCCTAGGCACACCTTTTGCGGAGCGTATAGCTAGGCACGGGGTGATGCATTCGCTGAAACGCCTTGTGTCTCTGTCAACGTACTTGAAAAAGCAGCAGGATAATTTCGTTAAAAAGCACTGAGTAGAGCCAGACTTGTATGTCAAGTGGGTTTGGGAAAACAAATTGTCCGAGCACTAATAACAGAAGGCGTTGGCGCAGGTGTAATCGTCGGAGAATATTTCGGGGCTTGTGTTGGAGGCATCGTATTGCACAGTGCGAAATACTTGCGTGCTGATAAAGCATTTTCTAGTTATTTTCAACCCTAGGAAGAATGTTTTTCAGGTTTAGGGTGTCTTTGCCGCAGAGACAACAATAATATTGTTATGCCAAAAAGTTATTAATATTCAGCATTTTTTTTACTTTTCATGCACAGCATGAATCTACCGGCATATGTCCTTTTTTTTCGCCTTGATGTTGCTTTTCTCACCACCTTGTGCTATGGCACTGTACATATTCTTCCAACATAACAATATTCATAAACTAAGCATAAAACAATGTACAGATGTAATTACTTGCAATGATCTAACAATAAATTACCCGCAGCTTTTTCCATTCATGCCTGGCAGGGCATTAGTTTTTCTTGGTAGGTTGCTATATAGACAAACATTATGTCTGCAGCTCGTTTCTCTTGTCTTTTTATCTCTGCTACACTCAGTAGACAGAGACTGTGGAGTTCCAGTTCAAATGTGCTTCTCATCTCAAAAACTTCTGAGTATTGCAATATATAAAAAATTTATAGCATTGATCATCAAGCAGGTGCATAACACTAAGTGTGAATTGTTGAAGTTTTCCAACTTGCAGCACACATATATTAGTTCTCATTGTTGTTACTTGATGACAACAGTTGATGTGGTTACTGTAATGAAAGGAAAATCCAGCCAACTCCTCTTAGCGAAAACCGTCAAAACCACTAAGCTGATGTTGGCGTTTCCTCGGGCTATAATAATTTATTTTATCAGTTTTTTTTTACTAAGCATACAGCTTTTGCGTCTCTGCATCAACATTGCGGTTGATTCTGCAACATGTCCATTCCAGCCGATGCTCACGTCGGGTGACTGCTTCATTGATGTTCACCATTCTGAAAGGGCGAACTCCTCAGTACTAACACTGTCATGCCATTTTAAAGTCCACTTACCTCATAATCAACTGATCTTGGTGCGATTTTCAAAGGTTCACCTATTCTTTACCACTCTATTTTGTCTGTCCTGACATTTCCCAGCTAGCACAATGCAGTCCTCCCTTTTATACGAAGCTTCACTTTGGCCACACTACAACGCCCTGTGATCTGCTCGGTGCTGACCCCGGAACTGTAAGCCACAGCTAAGAAGAGCTTTGCTGTTCGAATTTG